TCTATCTGCCCGTCGGCTGTAAGAGCTCCGGCATCGCCAGTCAGCGGGGCGGGCAGGGGGCCGAGCCCAGCAGGGGTGGGTTTTCTCACAGAGAAGCTATCAGGAGAGGAGAGCGGGTACTAAGCGGGTACAACTCCAGCACTAGCTTGTCCTGGGAACTTGAGAGGGGTCGGCTTTGCTGCTTGAGTGTTTGCCTCGCTCCCTTGAGAGGTGACTGAGGAATTGTGTTGTCCCTTTGAGCTGTTTGCAAGACGGGGTGCAGAGCCGCATTAGGTCTTGCTTTAAAGCCTGGGGGGAGGTGGTTCATTACCCGGAGAAGCGGCTTTGAGCCTCGTGGTCCCAGCTGGGAAAGGGCAGGGATGGGAAGGACGCTGTGTCTTGGTTCTTTGGCCGCAGTCTGGAGGGAAGCAACGTGCGAGTTGTTCATAGTACTCTTGTGAAACAGCTTAGCTAAGAAAAGTGGAGTTTGCAGCATGCATTTAACGTATCATAACTTTACGTTTGAACTCAGGTTGATTGAAATGGCTAGTGGCAATGGCTGGTTTCAGAGTGCCAGAGCACCCGCCTCTGGCCCCATACGGAAGAAGGCCTTGCCAGTTCGGGCTCCTGCGCAGCCTCCTGGCAATAAGCTTCCTCTGCCTGTGGCTGTAAGGCCAAAGCTTGGACCCTCTGAGAAACACAGCGTATCAGAGGCGACACAAAATCCAGGTATAGTTTTCAGTTTATACACTGGGATTAGCTATTAAAGTTCCCTATTAATTCTAGTGAAACTACCTTTATGATTCTCTCTCTTTTGAAAGGTTGCAGACTTTTGCTGCTTTTTCTTATTGCTGTGTTTTCTTAAATGACTTCTTGTACATCTGCTTGAACTTGTTCCTTTTCTTCCTGTCTCCTACTGGAAGTTTGTTAGCATGATTTTTTGTAGGATGGGCTACATAGTCTGCAGTCTCTCATAATATAAATTGCCAGTTGTACATTAAAAGTGCTGTAGAGGTTGCCAAAATATAGGAAATGTACTGTTGCATTAATTTTCATAGAGATCATTGAGAAAATTTTTCACTTCAGTTCCAGATATCCCAGGATGTATTTTGAATTCTCTCTTCAAATAGTTGTGTTGAGGTATAGGCACATATTTATGAGACTTGGAGAGAACAGTTTTATTTCTTCTTGGCTGGGAGGTACTTATGCCTGAAGCTGAAGATTCCATCCATCCTAGAGATGGATTTTTTTTCTCTTAAATCCTGAGGAACGCACCAGTCTTTCACAGAAGTAGATGCTGCAGGAAATGAACATTAATTGCTTCTTTTATAGGAGACTTCCAAGTCAAAATGCAACTGTCCAGATATAGCGTGCTACTTAGAAGAGTTTGTTTTTCACATGAAACTCTGAAGTGTAGGTTTGCTTTGGAACTACTCGGGATTTATATAAGTCTCTTATGACTTGACTATCTTGCTTCACGTTGACCTCTGTCCGAGCACACAGCCATTATGCTCTTCAGAGGAAGTGTCCAACCACCCCCTGTCCTAGTTCCAAGAGTGGGCTGGACCTGCAGGGTCAGGGGGGTTGTGCAGTGCAGCTCTCCCCCAGTTCTCTCCCGGCCATGTGAGCCAGAGGTGCAGCTCTTTGTAGGCAGGTTTATTTTTCTTTGAATGAATTATCTGCTTTTTGAATAATGTGTGTAGTTGCTACAACTTTCATAGTGTCTTATGACAGGGAGTTCCACTGCTGCTTAGTTTTGTGTGAAACACTACGTGCTCCGTTGCTTTCAGTCTGTCATTAGCAACTTTAATTTGCAAGAGAGCTAAGGGGGAATATATGGCGTGTTTGCATGTCATATGTGCCTATATTGAAAGGTTAATGGATTTAGTACTCAAAGTAAAAGCTTTGCTGTTTTTAAAAGAGGAGGCACAAACCGTTTCAGAATTGCTGGTATTGTTAATGTAGGATTCAGCACAAAGCAGTACAGCTCTAGAGTTAAATGTGCTTGCTTTTTGTTCTTCTAAGAAGCAGCTGAAAAGCATTTATTGTAAACAGATTAAAACTGTCCCAGAGTGTGTTCAGTTCTCGTCTTGTTTCAGAACCTTTGCTTTTGAAAGCAGCCCATCCACTCCCATTATCAGCACTTCCTCTAGAGAAAGACCTGAAGGAGTTGATTGCAAGATACAAACAGGGAGTCATAAACGCAGTATCTGCCTTGCATCAGTTTGCACAAATGCGCCGTGTACAACTTGAATTGAAAGAAACTAGTGTGGCAGGTAAATACTTATTTTTTTTAACAGAAAATAATATTTACGTATCTTCGAGATGATCGGAATTTCTGCAGTTAGTATTGATGGCACTAATACAGGTTAATTTGTTTACTGTTGATTGCACTACCCTCCACATATGTTGTTTTTTGGCTGCCCTTTTGTTGTCTGCACAGCTGTGTCTCATAATTAATTCCTACAGAATTTGATCAGATGGGTTGTATAAAATTATGGCTGCTCCCAGAACTTTCTAAAAAGTGTGTGAAATGAAGGTTGCCAGAATTCTTGTGAGGGTGAGAGGTTTGATTTGTATTTTGCTGAAATTGTCTTTTTGTCTTGTACTTGTCCTTGGAATTAAGATAGGCACGTAAGGCTATGGATAAAAGTACCTGAAAGTAATTTTACTAATTACTGCTTTTTTTTCTCCTTTAAAGGCAATATCATAAGGCCTTACTTTGCCTTTTGTGCTGTGTTAGATGGTGTTAGCTACCAGACTGGACTGGGAAAAAACAAGAAGGAATCTAAATTAAACGCAGCTAAACTGGCTCTTGATGAGCTATTTAGCTTGGAGTGTACAGGGGCAAAGGCTTCTGAAAAGTCAGGTAAATATTCTAGCAACACCTAATTAGAGCTTTACAAGCTTTGCTTATAGGTTTCCTATGCAAAATCTCTGGGTAGTTTTATTAAGTGCTTCTATATCAGGGCCTCTGTCAGTTTTCTTGAATCCTTGGGGCAGAGCTGTTTCTCATGTGGTTCTGAAACTATTTTTTTCCTTTGTCTTTTGTGTAGTAGGAGTTGCATCAGTTTATAGTGCAGAGCAGAGAATGCTGAAATAATTAATGTATTTGTTGCTATTGCACTTGATTAGCTACTTGATAGATAACAGCAATGTGAAGTTGATCCTATGTGGTTTTGAGTTTTTGTAATTGAAAGTCTTCAACACTGAGTTACGTTATGGTAACTGAATTATTTTCAAAAAGTTTATCTTCATTTAAGGGTTGCTGCCTAGGTAGTTCTAGGTTTAAAGGACTTCAAAATCAGAAAAAAAAAGTCTTAGAGAATTAGAAACTTTAACTTCCTGGCAATAGTGTGAGATACATGTTTTAAACTTGGAATGTCCATCCCAGTTTGAAATTTTGTTACATTTTTAGATCTTCCCTGTGCTCTTGCTGAGCCTGAAACTCCAGCAAACTCTGTTTGTGCTTCAAGGATCTGTTGTGGTAAGGAATAGCCTTGGTTTTTGCTATTGATTCAAATGACACAGCAAATGCTTGCTTTTTTTTTTTTTTTTTTTGTCTTTGAATTCTTTTTTTAATACATTTTGTGATCTCCATGAAGTTGCTGTTATTTTACATGTCTTGTCTTTGAACAACACTGTTAGAATTAATGTCACTGAAGCAGGAGATTGCCCATCCATTCTACAGATTGACAAAACTGAAGTAAATTGCTTGAATTTAGGTGGTGAATTGGAGACAGAAATAGAAACAGTGTTTCTGTCCTGATTTGAAAATACTTGAAAATCCAGTGGGTGATCAAACTTGACCCGTATCCGTGATTTATTATCATGAATAATAAAAGCATAACATGTTTAGCTATTTTTGTCCTTTATTTATTCGTGTGCATCCTGATAGTCTTCAGAATCCCAGGAGTGTGTGTTGGTGGTAGTGCTTTTACTGTGTGTTTATAATTTGGCCTGTTTTTTCCCCCCTGCAAATTTGTGTCTTGCTGGCTTTTGTTGTTTTATTTAGAAGGAAGACAGGTTACGTATCTACAACTTCCAGAAATTCTTGAAGAAGTATTTAACAACCTGACTATCAACTATCCTGAATATCGAAGTTGTGGCAATTCACTGGCGGCCTTCATCATTGAAAAAGGCAAGTCTGTTTTGATACTGAGTATTGGGGAGCGGAAAACCTAGGCTCTCTGTGTTCCCAGACAGCCCTGAGTAATGCATTTCTGATACAGCAAATAAACGTGGAGGGTAGCGCTCCTTTTTGGCTGTTGTCACATGCATAACTGTGCTACAGTCATGCAAATATTCAAGATGTGCATAAGCATTTCATTGTGCTGTCTCAAAGAGGAGTAAGGCAAGGCTGTGGAGAATGGTGTAGGGCAGAGCAGGTGGTTATGTCCTTCAGGAAGCTGCAGCCCCTGGAGAGCCCATATGGGAGCAGGCTTCTGGCAGGAGCTGTGGCCGTGGAGAGGAGCCCATGCTAGAGCAGGCTTGCTGGCAGGAGCTGTGGCCCTGCGGGGGACCCGCACCGGAGCGGTCCGTTCCCTGTGGGAAGGACCCACGCCGGAGGAGTGCTTGAAGAACTGCAGCCGGTGGGAAGCACCCTCATAGGAGTGATTCATGATGGACTGTATCCTGTGGGAGGGACACCATGTTGGAGTAGGGAAGAGCTTGAGGAGGAGTGTCTGCATGCCAGAGACAAAGTGTTAGGAACTGATGTTTCCTCATACCCCTGCACTGCTCGGGCAGGGAGGAGAGGAGGTACAAGTCAGAAATGAAGTTAAGCCTGCGAGGAAGGGAGGGCAGGGGGAAGGGGGTTTTAGTTTTGGTTTTGTTTCTTGCTATCCTACTTCATTTTTGTCAAAAATTAAATTAATCTTCCCCAAGTTGAGTCTGTTTTGCAGATGATGGTAAATAGCAAGTGATCTGCCTGTCCTTATCTTGACATACAAGGTTTTTAATTTTATTTTCCCCCCCCTGTCCTGCTGGGGGACAGGAAGTGTGAGAAAGCAGCTTGGTGGGCACCTGGCAGCAGGACAAGGTTAACCCACCACAATCATGTAAAAAAAAAACCAAAACAAAATGTTTTCTTTTCAGGTGGACAGCATGAAGTTGCAGCTCTAGGAACAGGAGAATGTAATTACAGTCAGTGCTTCCAACCTTGTGGAAGAGTGTTGCATGACAGCCATGCCCTTGTTATTGCGAGGCGTTCTCTGCTTAGGTGAGAATGTGTGTATAGATAGTTACCAGTTCTCTTGCAGCCAGTTCTCAGTTTTACTCTTGCAAATGTAAATATAAGTGCACTTGCATTTTATAGTTAGTACTTCTGGTTTATTTTAAAATCACGTCAATTAAATGTGAATATCCATGTATTTGTAAACAAAGTAATGTTTTTCATAATTACTGTTACTTAACACTTTCCCTTAGATATTTTTATAGGCATATTTTGCTGTTCTATAATGAAAATCCAGCAAGGACAGAGAAATCCATATTTTGCCTAGCACCAGGCTCGAAGCTGCTTACTCTAAAGCAAAACACAGTTATCTTTCTCTACATGAATCAGCTGCCAAAAGGAACCGCTCAGTTAAAATCACAGGTGTAAGTACCTTGGTATTTTCAGAGGTGTTGTAGTGGAAGATTAATTTGTTTGCAGTGACAAACATTGTATGTGTCGAAAATGTGCATTGTTGTACATTTCTAAGATAGTTTGAGGGCTATTCTGAGGGTTTTTTTCATGTTTTGGAAGCATTAATGTACAGGGTGGTAGTGGTAAGTGTAGGGGATACAGCTTACCATGATGATACAAAAAACTTTATGTGGGTTATAACTTCAGGATGGTGTTGTGATTGTTACAGATATCTGCTTACCTGTTAACTCTCCTCCCAAGACACTATTAAAATATTAATAAATCATTAATTTAAACACTGAGCAAGTAGATGTGGTGACTTAATGTCATCCTTTGCACCACAGGACTAGAGTGTAAAAGCCTTAGGTTGAAACAATACGCTCCTGCTCTGTAGGAAAAAGGTAATGAGAGAAGCTTGATGGGACAAATATACTGCTATGCTTACCTTCCTAATTTTCATTAAATTTCTGAAAGTTGGGGGTTTTTTTGATAGTTTTGACATTTAACAGCAGCAGTCACTGGTTTACCGAGTTATTATGAAAAACTTTTTTTTTCCCTTATAGTGGTGCAGTGCACTAATGTCCCTGGAAGTTGTACAGTCATAACTTATTTTCGTATGTACAAGACCTCTAGCTGCTTTCCTACTGTATTTGTGGTGTTCGGAAGGCAGACCTGTGAACTGGAAGTCACAGCCGGTTCATTGCAAATTGTGCTGACTAGGGGAGCCCCTGATGTTCAAATTGCAGATGATGTTGGATTACTTTCAGTGTCATAACCTGACACTCTTGTGAGGAAATAATTGATGAGGCTGGATGCAGTTTGTAAGGAACTCGGTAACAGCTGATGGATTACAGATTCAGCACTTTCTCTCTTGCTCTTTGTCCATTCTGGTCAATGTGTGTGCTCTCTTGAGACAAAGTCTGGGAAGTATTCTAATACACCAAATTTGCTTATTTCTAGAGTTGTTTAAAGATAATTTCTAGAAGGGAGCTACTTAGAGGTAATCCATTGAGTAGCAAAAAGTGACTACTTATTAACAGGTGGCAGTGTGTTACTTAAGCCAAAATTCAGTGGTTGCTTTATAATAATGTAGTAAAGCAAAAGCACCTTTGATCATAATGTTATAAGTTATGCTAGAATTGGGGAGGGTTACCTCAGAACTTCAGACTTTGACTTCTTATTCCCTTTTAGTTAAGGGGGGAAACTGTTTTGCTTCATAACAGTCATTGTTTTGTCTCTCTAATGTGTTGCATCTGCTTGTTTTAAATATTTTGGACAATTGCAGTCTAAGTTTTGTTCTAACAGAGGTTAATGGCCTTGCATTTTTACAAGATGAGGAGCCTCCAGGTAACTTCTGTCATAGTATTTGTAGGCAGAAAATGATAGGTTGTTTGCTGCATACACTGGTGTTTCTTAATGTTTGCACAACTGGTGGCTAAATTAGGTAGAATTCCTATTTCTTACCTAAATACTGATTTCAGTGTTCTAGTCACTTGAGCAGCTGAATGTGGTATTTCTAAAATTGACAAATCTTGAACATAATGTAGGACCCAGATCTGTTGATGATTGTTTTCTGAGAAACAGTATTAGATACCACTTTACCACAAGCTCTGATTATTTTCTCACTGAAATTAATTTTTTTGTCCTACTTCAGACATTTCAGTCCTCAATCTCTATATGCTTACGATACTGACAAACAACTGAGTCTCCATGTTGCTATAGAAGGCAAGATTTACCCAACTGCTTGTTGTCCACCTGAAACTGTTAGAGCAACCAGTATGTCAGCTAGTGACAAATTATCAAAATGGGAAGTGGTTGGTATTCAGGGAGCGTTGCTGAGTCACTTCATTGAACCAGTTTATATCAACAATATTCTTGTAGGTAAGCTTAATGGACATTTCAGTGGTTTTTTTGTATATTTTCATGTTCCAGTTTTATTACATTTTATAAAACATGAACTAAACCAAGATGTTTCTTCAGAGAATTACAGAAAAGTTACTAAGTGTGTATATTTTTTTTTTTCATTCATCTTTGAAATACTGTAGGGTGAAACTCTGTTAGGCTTGCACTTCTGTCAGTCGCAGTTTTGGGTTTTTTTGGCTTGTCAGACTGCCTTCCCTTTACTATGTATTAAAGTATCAAGAAATTAATCATCATTTTATAACAAATTAAATTGTAAATATTGAGAAAATATCAAGTGTGACAAATGCTGTCTTAACTGTTCAGTCAAACAGGGTGACTTTAAGCTGACAATGTTGGTCACTTAACTGTAGAAACAAGTAGTGGTGGAAAAAACTCAGTATATAAATAAAAATGTCAGAATGCTCAGTTTCACCCTGGGGTATCTTACCTGCTCTATCAGAAAGTTTTTGGCTTTTTGTGTCCGTAGTCTGTGCTTGGCCTCTGACCCCCTGTATTGGTTAATGCAAATGGATGTTTTGTTGAGGAACAGGAGTTACTAGAGGGACAGTGAATTCCTGGGATTTTGCGGCAGTCAGGAAGACCGTACTATTGTTGGAACTCATTTCAGTAGCTTTTATGTGGTGGAATGAAATTAATGGTTATTATCCTGAAGGTTTTTAGGTGTTTCTTCCTCTCAGTATCTGTCGTGGGAGACTTAGTACACAGATGTCCGCGTTCCCCAGACATTGATGTTGTGGCAGCTTTTCCTTTTCTAATACCGGCTTAGGGTTTTGAAGTGCTGCAAACGGTCTTGGAAGAATTGGTGAATGCCTTCTTCCTTCTGAGGAAGTTTGGGCACTTTTACTTAAAAGTAGTAGAAAAAATTCTAATATGCTCACTTAAGTGATATTCAAAGTAAACATAATAATCTGTAATGTGTTGCCCTTCTATTTAATAGCATCTCAAGGAATGGTCACAGAATTTCCATGGACCAAAGTATGTTTACTTAGTAGACAGTCAGAAATACTGTTGGATATGGAGTGATGTGGGCAAACTCCCTGGTGTGTTTTCTTATCTAGAACATCAAGTTTATGTTGCACCTTCTATTCTGATGGTGTCTTCTACAAGGAATGTGAAGAGTTGATGAAGAATAATTGTTCTAAGAAGGAGGTATCCCATGAAAACAATGATGTCTCTGGAGAAGAAATTGCAAAATCATTTGTGTTCTGCGAACTGAATGTTGAAACTGATTTTTCCAAAGATTAATTTTGTGTAGAAAAATTGATATAATGTAGACCAGTGGAAACATCTGCGTTCTTAGCTTTTTTTTTTTTTAATTTGGTGTACTTACATGTCATTGATCTTCTTTTGTTTAATAGGAAATGGAAATTGCAAGGATACAAGAGGGCTAGAAATGGCTATAAAACGGCGCGTTGATGATGCACTTACATCAAAGCTTCCCATGCCTTATGTGGTTAACAGATCTCATACTTACTTGGTGAATGCTGCACACCCGGTTCAAACAGACTTTAAACAGAGCTCTCTGAGTTTGAACTGGTCATTGTTGGATGCATCACTGGAGGTTGTGGATGGGTTAAACGGAAAAACCACTGAAAGGTTAGAATTTGTCTTCATTATGTTGGAAATAATGATTAGCCTTATTGTTCTGGGCCCATTTGTTGGAGTATTCGTTTTCTAAGCTATGCGTAGAGGCCGCAATATTATCCAGATGAGAGAGATTCTCTCCGGTGTTCCCTGAATACATCCTATGATTAGGTGTACTTTTAGAGATCTTGTGAATTTACAGTGAGATACCAAGATAGGAAATTAAATAGTTCTTGGAATTAAGATACCTTTATTCCATTGGGGTAATGAGTGTTTTAGTTTTTGCAGTACATAAAGCCAATGAGCATCCCAGGTCAACTGAATTCTAGTTTGAAAACTGGTTTTGGTTGACTTGTTTAAATTCTCATAGCTGCTGACTTGCATTAGCTTTGCTTATTGAAAGTGGAAATAGAATCTTATTATCATATATCATATGATAACATATTTTCCCCTCCCTTCCATGGAGGGGAAAATATAATCTTGTAATGATCAAAGCAATATACCTGTAATGTATTTGTTACTGGGTTTTATTATTCTTTTTTCATCTTGACTATAGTTCACCGTTCAAAAGTGGCACTTACATGGCAAGTCGCCTTTGCAAGGCAGCAATGTTCAGTCGTTTCAGATTGTGTGCTAAGGATGCAGAACGGGATGATTTGCTTCAAGTTGCAACATACCACGAAGCTAAGGTAAGCTGGTAAGGAGGGTGGAATTTTAGTAAGGAGTCTCTTAATGGGTACTCTGAAAGCTCTGAGTGATTTTCTAGTTTGCAGAAGTCTTTACGTGAACAGCTGGATTTCCTTTATTGCCTATAATCTTTGCCTGAGAATGTCTGAAATTGCTGTTGTCATAAAAATTAATCTACTGAATTAATTTTGAAACAGTCTCTATGAAAATCTGACATGTTTTGCCTCAGCATATGGAGGCTACTGGCCATTTTCCTTACATAAGATAGTTTCATATTAAAAAGGTTGGGTTTTTTTGTTTGTTTGTTTGTTTTCAATCTCGCTTTTTATATTTGTTTCGTATATATGTAGACATTTGTCTACCACAGTGTCATCTTGTGGGAGGATTCCTGTGCCATAGAGGAGTAGGAAAGAAGGAATCATTCATCAGAAGACAGCATTAGGTACCAGGGTTTCCTTTGTGGTATAAAAATACAGAGAAATTACTTAAAGGAGCTACTGTCATTCTTGATAGCTGTAAACACAGTTTATCCCTATCCATACTTGGAAATACGTAAGCTCATCTTCTCTGTACTATTCCAGGTTTTTCCTCTCCTTGGTTCAAAGCGGTATATTTTATTTCCAAAATGGTTATGTGAAAATTAAGCTTTTAAGTTAAGTAAATATATATTTTTTTTCCTCCTGTCAGAACATGCAAGAGATATTTTTCATATTATTCAAAAACTACTTTAAAATGCATTGGCTTGCTAATTGACTGTTCACCATGCATTTGGATTTACATTGAATGGTGTTGAATGTTTATTTTTCGAGTAAAGATATTATTGGAACTGAAGAGATGCTGAAAAAAATGAGGTTTAATAGAACAATTCTTCCATCCCAATAAATGCCCAAACATATAAAACCAGTATGTTTTTAGAGTCTGTAACGCTTTCTCTCACTGTCAGCCACTGAAGGAACGTAAAATTTGTAGGTATTGTTTTCTACAAGGTCTGTGCTTGTGCGTATTATATGCTGATGACAAAGAACGCAGATCTCTGTAACTGTCATTCTTGAGATCTTTTGAGATATTTCTTTTTCTTTTTTTTCTTTTTTTTTTTTTTTAGATTCAATCCAAATTGTACCAAGAAGCTAAGAAGTTGCTGCAAATCTACTTAGAGGAACATGGTTATGGATCCTGGATTGTGAAGTCGTCACATACTGAACAGTTCAGTGACTGACTGTGTGGCGGGTTGTACGTGGAGTCAGTTTGAGTGATTTCTTTCAGTAAAATGTAATTCTGATTAGCAATATGTTTAACTGTAGAGTTTATATTTGCAGTAAGAAAATAATTCCAGAGCTTCCTCTTGTCAATTTAAATGTGGTTATTAAATCATGTGTAACAGGTTAGCCTTTTCTGAAAGTTGATGTTTTCTCATAGGTAGGAGTATCTAACACTTCACAAATCTGGTTGATGTTGCTCCCTAATGCCACTTCCTTTTTCTGCTCCACCCTGCCCCATGGAGTTATTAACATGTTTTTTTCCTGTTAGTTTCAGGATTGCTGTATACTGATTTCTTGTTTTCCCCTGCTGTTTTCATAACTGTCTTTAAAAAACACAAAACAGTGACAGTTGTATGTCTTTAACTAAAAAAAAAGGAGTATACCAATGTGAGAATCACTTTGAGAAACAAAAATTGACAGTGTGCTTTATCTGTAGGCATCCTCTGCTAGTCATTTTAAGACTCTTGTTTAGCGTGGATTTGCCAGGTTGCTTATAGTTTACTAGTGCTTGTGACAGAAGGGTTCAAAAATAATCTGTGTAGTTGCAAATGTCAAAATTTGAATTACCAAGCTGTTACTCAACTGTTTTGTGACAATCGCTATTTCTGGTAGTGGATTTAAGGCATTTTAAAGGTGTCAAAGCTGTAAATAACCAATAGTATGCTGTAGTACAGGAGTCACCAGAAACAAGGTTCCTTCAACTTTTGTGGGCTGCCCCAGAAACCATCAGATGTTAGCGCTTGCAGTTTAGTTGACCTTCTCTGCCCACAGACTACTTTTGTCACTACAGTGACAATTCTTTGCAAAATTGTCTGCATAAGTAATAATCTGAAAAATGTTGCCTATGGAGATGGAAGTTGCCTCCTTGTGAGTTACGGTAAGAATATGGTAACTTTATGATAATGTTTAAAAGGATGTTGTTAAGTACCATTGGTTGTTAAGAACCTTGGGTTCTGTGTGGTGTTGTGAAATGTTAGTGCGTTTAAGCTAGATAGTACGGTTTCATTATGTTACTTCTATGATGTAAAAAAAAAGAAAATCAAGCGTGGGAAGCTGTTACGTGGTGCTTTCATACATCAATGATAGTATAGTGCTGTAGTCGTGTTTCGTCTTGTTATGCTAAGCAGATTCTAAAACTAAAACCTCTTTTCTGTATTTTTTTCCTTAATCTGTTCTTCTAACTAGTACATGGCTTCTTTACTGGAGACAATCTTCTGTTGATTTTTCAAGTTGTTGAAACTGACTGACTTGTTACTATTCTGACTTCTTTTTTTTTTTTTTTTTTTTTTGCTATTCTGCTGTTTTGTTTTCCCTGACTATCTTTGAACTTGGGGTGGGCTATGGGGGTGGTGGTGCTGCCAGTGGTTTTTTTGTTTTTGTGGCACATGCTCTGCATAATATTTGATCCATGTAATATCTCTTTTCCGAGAATGCTTGAGAGTGGCCATCATATTCCTGTGTAGGGCATAGTGTTCCCTTTTTTCAGAGGTGTTAAAACTTCAATAAATTTCCTTGACAATGTGTTAACTTTTTGTGCAGTTCCGCACCATTCTTCTGTATGGATTTAGACTTTTGCTGAGACAGGTGTCTCCTGTAGTTAAGCTAGAAGACTTAAATATGTCAAGTAACTGAACTTCTTTTTTTTCACTTTGGCCATTTTATTAATCAAATATCAAACCAAAACATCTATGAAACTTAGGTTCATTCTTAAGAGGAGAGAGGTTCTGTTGTGGAAAAGATGTGTTGTGATCTGTATGATGGCCATATCCTTGAGAAATGAGTTCGTGACAACAGCTTGTCCATCCTTGTATCTGGATTGTGCTTTGCTTAAGTAATGGCATATGCAGAGTGCACTGAGCTAGCAAATGTGTGTAGATGTTCTAGCCAAAACTTCTTTGGGCAACTTGTTCCAGTGCCTCGCCACCCTCACAGTAAAAAATTTCTTCCTAATAGCTAATCTCAGTCTACCCTCTTTCATCTTAAAACCGTTACCCCTCATCCTATCACTGCACTCTCTGATAAAGAGTCCTTCCCCATCTCTCCTGTAGCCCCCTTTAAGGACTGGGAGGCTGCTATATGAGGTGTCCACGGAGCCTTCTCTTCTTCAGGCTGAACAGCCCCAACTCTGTTGGTCTGTCCTTGTACAGGAGGTGCTCTATCCCTCTGAGCATCTTTGTGACCTCCTCTGGACTCATTCCAACAGGTCCATGTCTTTCCTGTGCTGAGGACTCCAGAGCTGGATGCAGTACTTCAGGTGGGGTCTCACCAGAGTGGAGTAGAGGGGGAGAATCACCTCCCTTGACCTGCTGGTCACGCTGCTTTTGATGCAGCCCAGGATACACTTGGTTTTCTGGACTGCAAGCGCACATTGCTGGCTCATGTTTAAGATGTTTTTCCCATGTGCGTTTTGTTAATGTGACATAAATAACTTAGCAACCGCTGACGTGCAAAATGTTTTGCAAACATTTTGCCTACTTTTTTAGGAAATGGACAGTTTTGTAAATGAAATACCAACTGAAAACATTAATCAGAGTATAAAAGGCCTCATGACGACAAGGATGTGCAACACAAGCACCCTCCTTCTAGTGTTACCTCAGCTAGCTGTATGTATCAGCTGTCTTTATAGTCAAACAGGTACTTCTCTGAAAATGTGTCTTGAAACACTTGTTGGAGATAGAAGTTGGGGAGCGAGACAGCCAGAAAATGTTTCAAAAATTCACGGCAAGGCATGGCTGCAGTACAAAAGTGATGAGGCCAGCCCCCAGGCTAGTGACAGAATAGCCGGAGTCTCTGCTTTCTGTGGCTGTAAACCTGCAGAATATTGCAGCTCAACTCCAAAGCAGTTTGTGCAGACCAAAAATGCAAAACACATGTATATATTTTCACACTGCATGTGCTTTGTTTATGAAGTTGTTAGTGATGGCTTCCACCTTATGAATGTATGGGTAAGTAGCTCTTTATCATAATTTCTTGGTTTCTGTAGTACTTGACTGTTTCTACCTTATCTACCGCTTACTGTTAGGGACTTGAAAAGGTCTTGGTTATTCCACTTGCAATGTCCAGCTGCGTGGATTGACCTTGAGGTAAGTTTTACCAAATCTTTGGAGTTCAGGTTTCTCATGCTTAAGCTAACGATAAAGGAAGCCTCGTTTACTAACAGAACTCTGTTCAGTGAAAACAGGTCCTGTACCATCTGATTGCTGAGAGCTGGGGCAGCAGTGCAGCTAAACATGCATAGCCTGGTAGTAGAGTGTGTTTGCAAAGCCCCATGTTATGTGTGATGCTGTTACTTCAGGGTACAGCTTTTTGCTGTAGATGAGAAGCTTTGGATGCAAACACATTCAAGAAGTTATAATGTTTATGAAGTAACCCAGTGAAAAAACTCAATGAAATAATGGATAATCTAAAACCACACCACTATTGCTGAGTTACATTATTTAGTAAGTTTTTAAAACTGTAAATCTATTATTAGTCTTTGATCATATAAGCTGTGTATATTTACTATTGAACAACAGCTCATTTCCATTTCCTCCCTAATATTCAGCATTAGAGGGCAAGTCAGCCCTTCCTTACACCCATTTCCCACACTAAGTCAGACACAGACCTGGTGGGGAGTCCAGCAGGTGTTCGGGGGGGATCTCTGGATTTGACTCTGTGGGTTAGTATCACTGCTAGACAGTCTCAGCCTTAGATGGTTTTATTGTTGTGGTTACTTAGGTGTGGGTGGTCTTGCAAGATTCTGCACACTAAAATTCCTCTATAATTCGTAGTAATAGAAGTCAGTATTGATATAATTCTTACATTCTTATGGGTGTTTTTAAACCTAGACTGTCTTTATCTCATAGACTCAGTGCTTAGTATGTCTTTAAATATTGTCTCACTTTGTTTAAATGAGATTTGTTTCATTCTTTTTGCATGCAGCTTTAAAAATTTATCAGGGAAGAAGGAATTTCTGTAAAGAGAAGCATTATTCTATGAAGTTTGACAAAGTAAAGCAAATTTTTATGAATACATTTGTCTGTTTTCTTAACTTCTATGTCATGCTGTATTTAGGTCTTACTGTTATTACAGACTGTCATTTGGAAGGCATCTGATTTGAGAGGAGGGTGGAGCTGATCTGTGGCGGAGATGACTGACAGTATTGTGCTTTTCTGAGTCCTTGTGGGTGGGGACAGAGCATCCTTTCGCTGTGGGAAGAGGAGATAAGTAGAGCAACAGATACCAGCGCTGTAAGTATTCTCCCAGTTTTGGCAGAAAGTTATCATTAACACTTATTTTCTCTTTGCAGCGTTCAAGAAATCTGATGGTTTTTCCATTGTTATTCTGTTTTTAAGTATAACTTGAAATACTCCATACCACACCCACCAGCAAAACACATCAAAGACTAAATGATAAACTGATAACTGTTGTAGTAGGCTTACTTTCATCAATTATAGCTTGTGTTTTTAGCATTAAGTGGTGGGTTTGGGATTGTAGAAGATGCTGCTCTTAGTTGTTTCCTTCTGCATAAAACTTAGAATGTCACATGAATGACTCCAGCTTTATTGGAAGTAAGCACATTTCTGAGGTTCCACTAAAAGATATTTGTGAATATTTAAGGCAGTATGTGTTCTTAGGGATTTGTACATTAATCATCAATTTTTTGTTGGTTGTTGCTGGAAAGAATTGGGTATGTAAGTGTTCTGGGACCTTCTCGGACCTCCATTACCTGTATAGTTGTTATTTCAGGTGTGTTATTGTTTTTATAATGTTTCCCTGTCTCTGAAGATTTTTGAAAACTATATATTAGCAACAAGAATGTACCCTGGAAAAAAAAACAGCAGAAAGCCTGTGTAGCTAATTAGGACAGCTCACAAAAAGAGTTTGACATTTTGGGTTTCTTTTGGGGGGTGGGGGAGTGGGAAGCAGAAACCTGGTGCTATTACTTCTATGCCTTGTGCTGTATGCCAGCATAAAC